AATAGCACAGAAAGTCAGTACTACAAAGGGTCTCGATATTTCAAGACACCGGCCATGTAAATATTTTCCTTAACTCACTGGAGTCGAGCCAAAATGCCGACGAGTTTATACCTTAAAATTACTTTATTTAGACGTTGATTATTCGCCCTTAGTCGGGCGCTGCAACGGTATACTGGACCCGTTACAGTAATGAAGAGTTACTTAAGAACAGTTACTCAAGATTTCTCTTTAATTAACTGGTTTCCTGAATATTTCGTATTCAATATTGTTCACTGTTAATTGTTTTACTAGATGTAACCAGCAGCTTCACTTGCATTTGTGATCACTGCTCGACTTTGAAGGGCCGTAGCCTGCTATTACATAGTCTATCACCTGCCTCAAATTCCTTCAAAGAAGACTGGTAGTGCCAGAGAATTTTATTGGGCCAGTATAGAAAACGGTATATGAAATATTGTTTGATAAGTGTATTTCAATGGTAATTATTCAACTGAACGACTTGACGAGGGTGCAACACTTATGCAAAGTCGATGACAATACAAATGAAACAAATAATCAACACTTTTGAACATAAAAATAAACAGACAAATAACAAATTAAACTCACAATCAAAACACTTACACTAATTTCTAAATAATTTTGAGTCGGAGCCAAACAATCAAATTAATTATTACGTCAAATGAAATTATGGCAGCGGAATTCACGACGCGCCCCTTTGCGGATATGTTTTTGAAGTTTATTTTTGATTCATTGTTTGGCACCGACTTAAAATTATTAATATACTTATATTAGGTACATTAGTGTGAAAGTTTACTTAAGCTAGTATTTTAATATGAGTTAGCTAACAGTACTGTATCGGTACTATCGGTAAGTCTCAATTAAATCACTATCAAGCAAATTTCTTTTTTAGATACAAGTTATCCTGCGTTCTTTTGAGCACTCTCGTCAAGTTGCAGATACAATTTCTAGATCGCTTGAATAGTTTAGTCGCACTTTAGACATTTTATTGCCATAATATTTATTATTTTCAGTAATCTTTTGTAAAAACTAAGTTTCGAGCTAATTTAACGTTTAAACTATGACAAATGATATAGGTTCAAGGTTATCTTTTGTCTTTTGAAGGTGCATTAACATCTATAACAAGATCGTTCGTCGTGGTTATATGACTCATTCTAATCTGTTTAATTCTGTGAAATAAACAAATGAACTGAGCATAGTTTCTTCTAACAAGCATTTAAATCGCTTCACATTGACCAATTTATAGATCATTTAATTAGTGTGCTACACAGTGCAGCAATGAACAGGACTCTTACACTCGCACTACTTGGGAAAATTAACCAGTTCGTTTTTAGCCAGTATTATCTCCTGTGCGTTCACTTAACCTTGGTAAACGGCAAAACTGTATGTCGATCTCAAATCGATTTAAGCCAAAGTGCTCTGACAGGGAATTTATTGAATTAAATCTACTGAAGGGTCCTTAGATGTTAGCTGTAAAGGAAATATCCGCGAATCATGACAGATTTGGCCGCCTGTTCATTGGCCGATCAGGCGACCCCACTTCAGATGAAATGGGAGAGTTTGAGTAGGGGTAGGGGAAAATGTAGTCTTTGAAGCATCCAAGTATTTGTGTTTGTACATTATAAAATAAAAAAAGACATGGTTTTAGGTACACTATTCGACGTATTTATTACTGTAAGGCACAACGAATTGGCTATACTGGAATCGTGCACTTCGATTGATCCGCGCCCAACCTCACGATCCAAATGGAATTGTAAATTAGTTCAGTAAATTGTTTACTTTAGGAGCTTCGGTTGTGTTAAATCTGGTTGCGAAATCCGTTTACCAATTAGCTTTCAAATATACTCAAAATAATTGCAATTAAGGCAGATATAATTTCATCAATTGTCTCTCGGTCAAGTATTATGAGTTCGGCCTCTTAGTTATTTATTTTTGCACTGAAACTTGTAAGCAACTGCACTTTGTGATCATTAAAACATTTATTTAAATATATTTCGAAAGAAAGCATTACAAGTAGTACCATCATCTATGGTTTAATTTATTGCACTTTTTACAGGAGATCAGTTCTGCAAAACTAATAATAATTTTTCAGAGGCCATCTCATAGGCGTCTGCTTGGCCGGGTTGGTATAGTGTTGGTATGGTATAGAGTTTGTTTCAAGCTTTCCTTCTCTTTGTAGTGGTGTTGTCGCTCGCAGTTTATTCGGTTTTTACGAAGCTCACGGGATGAATGTGTGAGGGGTGGTGAGACGCCGTATTCTTAACCCGTCACCACACGGCCTATGGAACACGTATATATTTACTATATATGTATATACAAATCATAGTTATTAGTTACAAATGTTTGAACAGAAATGGTGGCTTTATCTCATTACAATTACTTGTATATAAACCGCTATTATATCAAGATGTTGAAGATGTTGTGAAAGTCCACTGGAGCGTGAAATCGAGTTAATTACCAAAAGATTTAAGGGCACGATGGCGATAATAAATGTTTGTAGGAGTAAAGCCAAACTATAGCGTGGATAGCAACTTTCTCTCTTGTGAACCACTACTTTGTACATCCACTATTCTTAAGGGTTCCTTCCTGAATTATACCAGGTCAGTGACTAGCTCCGACAATGGATATTTGAAACTCAGGAGTCAATTATGTGTAAAATTGGGTTTCTGGTAACTTTACCCACTTGGTAAAATGCAATGAAAGAATTGTTTAAGAGTAGGTTACTGTGAGGTTGCAGTGTCTCTCCGGTCGAGCCGGTCCATGAGAGCCGAAGCTAGCCATATTGTTCCGTGAGCATGGCTCTCCCACTATTAAGTGGAACGGGAAGAGTTTCCACTTACTTTTAGTTTTTTTATTTAACTTAATAAAACATAAGTAATTTATTTATTGTAAAAAAAGTGACTTAACTTATATAACAGTGCAATTAACAAATTTACAAATTTCTCAATCAAAATGGCTTTACATGTAAGTAATGTTCTAAAAATATTTTGATTAAACACTAAGTAGGAATCAGATTATGTTCAGTCTGCTTTTAAATGATAACGAGTAGACCACCAAAGATAAAAATATCGACAACAAATCACCATTTTTTTGATAAAAATAAACTTGTATTTATCTCTATCTGTAGGTACAAAAAACTGTTTTCTTTTATTTTATCATAAATAACAAAGGAAACTCCTTCCATGATATTTTATAAATATAAATTGTTATTGATATAAAGAGGGGGTAAAGATGCGATTAATATGTATTACTTACCTACCTTTCGATAGGGAATTCAATTCAATTTGAAATAAATTTTTAAATAAATGATTAAATTGAAATAAATTAAACTAAATAAATTATAGAAATAAATTAAAATAAATTAGTAAATTATGTTTTCATTGTTTTTTTATCTTTAAATTAACATTAAATTTAAATGACTCGACTAGCTGCTCGGAAAATAATGAAGTCACGTTCACGAATTGTGGTTTGTTTAAAGTGCGAATGTATGTAAGTAAAAGAAGTTCCTTAAACCAGATGTTTATACACTTCAAATCTACATATTTTAAGTGTCAAAAGCTGCGTATTTAATATTATACAGATATATGTAACTTTCACTTGAGATTACTTTTATCTCGGAGATTTAAAGGAGTAATGGCAACCGCTGAGGTCAACACACTACAACGAGATTCATTTAATGTTTCAAGCTAAAAATTAAATTGTCCCTTAGAAATCATGCCTAATTTTGAGGCCTTTGGGTAAACTTAACAAATGTGCCTCACAAAATAATTATACAACAATAGCGAAGTGGTACTCAATAACAATGCAGATGTCATAAAATAAGTGTTGCAACATTGTACCATAAAAGAATGAAGTTTTAACTTCATTGTATGCGAGTATTTTACCTGAGACTGAGAACATACTTGAATTATTTACGACTTACAAGTGATAAAATTAAGAATTTTACTGATTTTCTATTTATAAGCAAGCGAAATCTTCAAGATGTGTGTTTGTTAATCGACAAAAAAAGGAGGAATAGGAAAGTAGGTTGTATTTCTTTTTATGTTTGTTCTTCATAACTCCGTTATTTACGTACCCAATTTGGTAGGATTATCTTCCCGTAGGGTCCTAATCAAATTTAAAGGAAAAATACTACCCCTAAGTGTGGCAAATTACGGAATAACGAATACAGTTTATTATTCAGTATCAATTTATTATGGAGAGGCTTTTTATGAAGTTAATTATGATAATGATGAGAGCATAGATTATGGTAAAAGTAGTTAAGTACTTGTTCAATTATATATACAATATATAAATGAAATAGGTCTGTCTTTACTATTCTACTGTTTGTACATTTAAGAGTCAAGATGTTTGTTGACAAAAACCATTAATCATTATTGTTTATATAACATAAATAGATGCGGTACAACGTCCTCATCTATACAGTTCAGTTGACCGCAAAATTGAATCATTGTGTCACTAAGATCGTTGTTTGTACGTGCCATAAGGCCATAACTTACTACGCATATCGGTGCAGCAGTTGTACCGTTATTCAAGAGACGAGTTACCAGGGCACCAGACTAGCGAAGAGTTACCGCTACGTGCCTTCTACGGCAACTGGCCAAATTATAACTGTATCTCTCAGATAGATTACAAACTTTGGTTTTGGTTACTTAGTTACTTGAGTGTAAGCGGCATCTCATTAGCGGTGAAATCGTGCTCACATCATGACCACATCGGGTAAATACGCACTCACTTTCGAATTCTTATCCTAAGATTTCGCGATGATCAATCGACTGTATAAGCGCTAAGTAAGTATATACGACGCATGCAAGTGTTGAAGTGAAGACTCACGAGCGACGTATGTATTTGCATTGAAATACAACGACATTGTTGATGACTTTACTGATATAATAAATTCGCATTAACGATATGATTTAAAATAGGTATCCGATACTGTTTCGTAAACTCACAATATCCAAGAAAAATAAAAGAAAACGAATTACCTTCTGGCACAGCAGCGAATGCGTAATTTTAGATTTGGAAAATATCTTCCAAACGATGATGGGGCTGAACTCGCCACAGAACAACACTATACACTGAATATTACGCAGAAGAGGAAAAAATCTTTGAAATAACAACACTAAATTTAGCCGATGTACGCGATAACACGACAGTTCGAAACAAAGTAGAGCGTAATATGGACACAAACACACGTCTGCCGCGCGCGACGTCCACACGCGAATAGAACAGCTTGTTGAGTTCAAAACTCGGCTCGGCTTGTCAACAAACAAAGAGGGCTTGGTCGCGAACGTTTTGCGCAGGCGCAAACACAATGCACGCACACAACACCACGCGTGTGAATGAACACGTAAACATTGAGTAGATTAGTAGATTTCGCTGGACTCAATTTTCATAAAAACGAAAGAAACGTGAACCGCAAAAACAAAATTGCCAACTTATTGTATTGAAAAGTTTTAATACTGACGCTGTCAGATCGGGTTGAGTATTATATGGAGGTATAATATTTTAATAGGTTATTTGACTCTCTCTAAAAATATACCGTTACAAATTAAAGGTTCTAATTGCTTTTATTTGTTAATCATTAAAGATGATAAGTAAACAAAAATTTTATCTTAGGAGTAACGGGGGAGATAGAAATTCAACGCTTATGGGTCATGCTAAAAAATTAATTAGAACATGAATACATTTTAAATGCAAAATCAAATCCATAAATTAGTAATTTGACACTGACGTGGTGACCGTTTGTCTATTCTATCACAAAATGTTGTTTTAATGAATTTACTGTAAATATTCCGTGCTAGGTATATTACATATTTTTAAGGGAATTAACGCCATTTTTTGGGTACGTAGGTACATAAGTTTAAACGACCTGTCGTTTTGACAAGGTTACAGTAACCTTGGACAGGACAGTAGACAGTACGCAAAAATAGTTTAAGTATATATTCATTTATTAACCATTGCATTAACTCCTGTAAAATATGTTTAGTCTACATGCCTACATACTCGTATTATTTAAACATAATTTAGAAGTTTAAATATTGATAAAGTGTACTAACAATTCTATCAAAAGAATAACTCTGACTTCTTATCGCTCGCGTTATCGACTTTAGAATAAAATTAACCATAGACTAGTTATAGTCGTTATAGACTCTTCGACAGCTGGTTAAATGTTGTTTGAAATGACTATGCAGCGGCGTACTTAGGAAAAAGTCGTGAAAGGTCACATATTTGTGTTTGTAATGTTGGCACGCGGTCTTTAAATAACTAAGCAGCCGTGAACCTGAAGATGTGCGTATAATAGAAATTTGGTCCAAGTTGCGTGGGTGGCGATAGGGTTTGCACACTTTGTACAATATGGTACGGGGAAACGAAACTATTAATAAATATCCGTGTGGTGACGGATTAAGAATACAAAGTGTTACCACCCCTATTAATTTCGTGGGTGTCGTAAGAGCCGACTAAGAGAGCAAACTATGCAGGACACAGCAAAGAGAAGGAAAACTTGACACAAACCCTATACCCACCCATCTAACCAGCCTTTTGTAGTAGGCCAAATCGTCCTTTTTAAGGAGAGGAATTTGTATGGCAGTGGACTACTAAAGGTCGTTGTTGTTGATGTTGGGGGAAAACGAAACGTGAAGTTCTAAATGACGCATTCACAAATGAACAAAGTAACAAAGAATAAACGGATCATTAGGTAATTGCGAAAATGCGATTTTCCTTGACTGAATTTCAAAGAGCGTCTTATTTGCGTGTTTAATATTCGGGAACTCATTTATGCACCTTTCTTGAGTGTTTTATATATTCTGTGGAATCCGTCGACTTTGGCCTTTAGAGATCATAGGTCAATTATATTATGTTTACCTTTAACTTTATATCACTGAATAATGACACAGTAGTTATCCAAGTGATCGTAAATTTAACATACATATATCGGAATCGAACTGACCAAAACAACACGATGTTCCGACACAAATTGGCCTTTTGCGGGGGCCCTGGGATACGCTAGGAACCTCGGAAGACCTTGGTAGCAGTAAAGGGAGCTTCAGCAATACGTGTTAAGGCCGTGCCCCTCAGAGGTTCGCAGCATGCGTTGTGCCTCCATCTCAGGCCTGCTTCTATTAGAGTAAGAGACTCCTTATCTCTGCTCACGGAGCTCCGACCTCCGTGAGCACTGGCATCGTTTTGAACTCTCCGTAACTATTGCCCCTTCTGCGGGACGGGAGATGTTCTCTACCGTTCCCTGTCCGCCACTTCAGGTGTATTTATAGTAATCGTGTTTTTTTTGCAGTATGAAAGATCTTATCACTGTTTAACCATTAAAACGGAGCCAAACTTTGAAAATCTTTTGTAGAAGCGTACTGAAATGTCGTCACGCTAATTTTTCTAACATATCCATATATTTTTTCACCTTTTATATCACCGACTTCGTTGGCTATATGACCAAACGTTGCTTGACCATTCATTAAATGTTTACGTTCAAACTCATACCGTCAGTTTTAACTGGCTATATCATGAAACGGTCAGATACATCATTGTTAAAGAAAATTAGCAATAAAAACTCAAGCCCGCTATTTTCCAATTGCAAATAATGACAGGAAAATCTATCCAGTGTATAACACGTGGTGTGCCAACCGATGTTGTCCCACAAATATTGTGTAAAAACTGCGTACTAGATGCCGTTGACACGTGTAAGCAAATAGAAAACGAAATTTATACTGGCGCGTGAAAAAACGGAAGAAATGTCGGACATTAATGATCTGTCAACAGCCTTTGGCTCTATAGGATGTCCTTTGTCGTTTATGATGAAATAAAAAGAAATATGTGATTGATACAGTGAGATTTGATATAGTTTTGGGATAACTTTTTTTTGTATGGTATCGAGGACAAATAAACAGACGTTGATAAAACAGATAATTGCAGGTTAAGCCACACTCGAGTTTTTAAGCAGGTAGTCTAATTTTGTCTCGAGTGAAATAATAGTTATAAAGATCGGTGATCATCATCATCTACATCAACAGCCTCTCCTTAGAAATGAGGTTTTGGCCTACTACACCACGCTTGCCAGACGGGTTGGTTTAGGGTTTGTTTTAAGTTTTCCTTCTCTCTGCAGTGCTGTTGTTCTGCGTAGTTTGCTCGTAAATCGGCTCTTACGATACCCACGGAATAATTAGTGGCGGTGACACTGTATTCTCCCTCACCACACGGATGACCCCATACCTTTATATTTCTAAATACATACATATGATAGATCAATTACATCCAGACACAGAACAAATGACCGTGCTCATCACACAATCATATATCCTAGGTGGAACCCACGACTTCTGAAGTAGTTCCATTCCATGATGAAATAATTGAACACGTTAAATTGACAGTCAATAATATAATTTAAATAAAATATATTGTAATAACACAACCTGTTCTGCCAAAACGAATTAGGCGTCATTCATTCGCCTTAATAAAAAAAAACAACATAAGTCGCGGTAGTGATTAAGGGATTGTAACGATACATCAAAATGTGACCAGGCATTTAGGCTTTATGGTGGAATAAAAAAATCTGACATACTTACTTACATGAAGCTTGAAATCACGAAAATTCTGTTTTGAGCGTGTACAGATGACAGGTTATTTTCGAAGTATATAGTATAGTTAAAAATTATTTGAAATCCTCTAAAAATTGCCTTACTTATTGACTTACATATGCGAAATAATAATAATAATAAAATAATATTGTACCACATTCACACAACGCCATCTAGTCCCAAACTAAGCAGAGCTTGTACTCGTACTATGGGTACTAGACAACTGATATAAATACATATATACTTCTTTTTTTTTGTAAATACATACATATTATACATAGAAACACCCAGACCAAATCAAACATTAAATGTTCATGCACACAAATGTTTGACTTGAGCGGGAATGGGGACCTTTGGAATAGCAGTCCGTTACACAAACCACTACGCCATTCGGTCGTCAAATAATTTATTTTGAGTAATTTACCAAATTATGGAGCTATATTTCTCAGTACCTGTGCTGCTTATGACCTTGCTCAACCTGTACAGGCTAAAAATATTCATTTTGATTCGAAAAACTAGTATCTCAGTATTAGACCTCACACGGTCAACGCCCCGCGTTTAGTACGCGTAATTTTAATTGAAATCGTTTTTTTATTTAAATGTAAAACATGTAGGTAGTCGCGAATATCGTTTCCTTGACAAAAACACTAAATAGTTACCGAGTGTTTCAAGAAAACTGTGATGAGATTGAAGTATGACCGATTTAAAAGAAAAGAGTTAAATTAAAATCGCCGTCGTAGCTTGACTGCATAATTAGAGGAAAAATAAGGACAGCTATTTGGTAGTTAACTATTATCAAAATCGGTCCAGCCGTTTTGAAGATTACCCGGAACAAAGAGACAGACAGACAGAAAGACAGACAGTCAGACAGACACAAAATATTTAAACTGGTTTTTAGGGATAGGTATCGTGCAAATAACCGTGTAAGCATGAAAAAAACCTATTATTTTGACATTACAAACAGTCACTTCAATTTTATTTATTTGTATAGATTTATGATTATGAAATCATAACCTTAAGACTGAGATGAATATGAATGGGAATTAGAATTAGGAATGAGAACGAAGTTCAGCCGAATAGCGGTAGTCTTGAAGCCGACCCTAACCTAGTATGGGAAAAAGACTCGACGGAAGAAGAAGAATTAACTTATTCTTATCAAGTTCTTCCTCCGTTCTTCCTTTATAGTTTTAAACCGTCTGATAACGATTGCATACCTAGGAAGGGTTAGCGCTAGGGAGGCGGCCGGCCTTAAAGAAAATCAGACGTTATAATGTAATGCACAAAGCCTTAATTGCGTTGATTACTAGGATATCTAAGAGAAAGAAACAATGACTATAGATATAATTGGTACTTATAGTCAATACTTTAGCAAAAACAACCTTGTATTGTATTCGAAGTTTATTATGAACAGTTGTACAACATCCGCTCCGTCTATTTTTGTGTGGTGATAACATGGCTTATTACATAAGGTAGGCGATTACGAGCTTAAGTATACATGTACCTATTGATTAATAACTATGGGGACACGGGGGAGAGGCATACGGCCGGAGACGGGCCAGCACCATCGTAGTGATTACGTCGCTTCACAGAATACCAGTGACAAACTATTTTTTAATATTTTTCATCGAGTGTGTTAAGTATCGGATACCCAAACCACCCTTCTTCAGTTTGAGCGAGGGGGAGGGAGGTTGTCTACTAGACATGGACATTACTGCTACTTTTAAATCATATTCATTTGATGAAATGATTGGTTCTAGTCACAAAACTCTTTTTAGCCAAGATTACGATCATCATCATCATCATCAGCCTATCGCAGTCCACTGCTGGACATAGGCCTCTCCCATTGCACGCCACTTAGATCGATTTTGGGCTTCTCGCATCCAGCTCCTGCCAGCCATCTTGCGCAAATCGTCACTCCACCTGGCCTGTGGGCGTCCTACACTACGTTTGCCGAGACGCGGTCTCCACTCAAGAACTCGTTTTCCCCAACGGTTATCGGTTCTGCGGCTAATATGGCCAGCCCACTGCCACTTCAACTTGCTGATCCGGTACGCTATGTCGGTGACCTTAGTTCTCTGCCGGATCACCTCATTTCTGATGCGATCCCTTAGAGAAACGCCGAGCATAGCCCTTTCCATAGCACGTTGAGCGACTTTGAACTTGTGGACCAGCCGTACCGTAAGTGTCCACGTTTCAGCTCCGTATGTCATGACGGGTAGGACGCACTCATTAAAGACTTTCGTCTTAAGGCACTGTGGGATCGACGATGAGAAGACTCGACGTAGCTTCCCAAACGCTGCCCAACCCAACCGAATTCTTCTGTTCACCTCGTCCTCGAAGTTGTTTCTACCTAACTGCAATGTCTGCCCGAGGTACACATAATTTTGAACAACTTCGAGAACGGCACCGTGTACCGCAATCGGTTCCGGTAGTACATGTTCGTTGAACATGACCTTGGTTTTATCCAAGTTCATCCGTAGGCCGATGCGTACAGAAGTGTCAGCTAAGTCATTCAGCATTTGCTGTAGGTTCTGCAACGTCTCTGCCATGATGACGATGTCATCTGCAAATCGCAAGTGAGAGATGTATTCGCCATTGATATTGATGCCACGCCCTTTCCAGTGCAGCGTCTTGAACATGTCCTCCATTGCATTTGTGAACAATTTCGGGGAAATAACGTCCCCTTGTCTCACTCCTCGATGCAATGGTACGGGCCTTGTTTGCTGATTCTGTACTTGGACGGACATGGTGGCGGCTTCGTAGAGACATCTCATCACTTTGATGTATCGCCAATCTACTTGGCAACGCTGCAGGGACTCCAGAACAGACCAGATCTCGATCGAGTCAAAGGCTTTCTCATAGTCCACGAATGCTAGACACAGGGGCTGATTATATTCTTCGGTCTTCTGTATAATCTGCCGCACTGTGTGGATGTGGTCTATGGTGCCATATCCGCTCCGAAACCCAGCTTGCTCCGGTGGTTGGAATTCGTCGAGTCTTCGCGCAAGACGGTTCGTGATGACTCTCGAAAACAGCTTGTAGACGTGGCTTAGAAGGGATATGGGTCGATAGTTCTTCAACCTGGTCTTGTCACCCTTTTTGAAGAACAAGACGACCACACTCCTACTCCACGCTTCTGGAGTTCTCCCTTCAAACAGGACAGCGTTGAAGAGCTTTTGGAGCTCCCTTAGTACGGGTTTACCCCCGGCCTTCAGCAGCTCTGTTGTAACGCCATCCTCTCCAGGGGCTTTTCCATTTTTCAGCTGTCCAAGAGCCATCTCGATTTCGTCAATGCTAACTTCTGGCAGGTCTTCGGTGTAGTGACGTGTTAATGTGGCTCTAGAGTCCTCATTTTCGGGATCAGGTCGAGATGCATGCGAAGCGTATAACCGGCCATAGAAGCTTTCCACTTCCAAAAGGACTGCCGGCTTCGAAGCAACGACTTCTCCACTTTCTGTAGTCAACTTTGTCAGGTGGCTTCTTCCAAGAGATTGTACGAACACTTTTGACCCCCGATTTTGCTCGATCGCTCTTTCAATTGAAAGAGTATTGGAGCACCGGAGGTCGTGTCGTACGAGTTTACTGATCTCTCGGTTTAGAGTCCGCTTTGCCGACAAAGTGACAGGTGGGTTTTCACGTCGTTTCTTCATCAGCCCTAGGGTCCTTTCTGAAAGCTTCGACTTCCTGCCCTTACGCTGCATTTCACAAAATCTCATACCTTCTTCCCTGAGGATCTGAACCACATTTTTGAGGTTCTGGTTTACGTCGATTGTGGTTTCCACGGCAGCGAATCGGTTTTCCAGTTTTGACTGGAACGTTTCAGATCCTGTCATGGCTTGGAGCCGAGTTGGTCGGAGCCTGGATTTCATCAAACAGACACGTTCCGCCTTAAAGTTGATATTCAGAGAGCCCCGGACAAGTCGGTGATCACTACCGGTATTAAACCTATTGATCACTGAGACGTCTCTGAATATGTGCTTTCTATCCGTCATGATGAAATCGATCTCATTTCTGGTCATAGCGTCGGGGCTTTGCCACGTCCACTTCCTTTGGGGCTGTTTCTTGAAGAAAGAATTCATCAAAAACAGCCCCTCCCGTTCGAGGAAGTTGACCAGCATTTGCCCCCTATGATTCCTGCTTCCAAATCCATGGGATCCTACTACCGATTCGCCGCGATTCTGTACTCCCACTTTAGCGTTGAAGTCACCCATAACAACGTTGTAGTGGGTCTTAGTTGTGAAGTGGAGGGCCCTCGATATGTCATCGTACATATCCTCCACCTCGTCGTCCGAATGTGCCGAGGTCGGTGCGTACACTTGCACAACCTTGAGGCTATACCTCTCGGTGAGCTTGATAATGAGGTACGCTACCCTGTTCGACACACTGGAAATTTCCACAACGTTGTCAGATAGGGACTTATTTACCAGAAACCCAACCCCACCTTGGGATTGTTGGTCTCCCTCGCGGAAGTACATTAGGTGGCCTCACTCGAGGGTTATGGTGTCCTCCCCCTCTCTTCGGACTTCACATAGCCCTAGGATATGCCACCTAATCTTCCCAAGTTCCACCTCAAGTTGCGCCAGATGCGAGTCTAGCCGTAGCGTGCGTCCGTTGTACGTAGCCAGGGTCAGTCGGTTGTGGTGGCCTCCCGTAGCCCGGAGATTCTTCGCACCCCCTGCCCCGCCTTTACCGAGGTCGCCACCATGACCAGGAATAGCGGGGCCGCCGGGAACTGGGGGCCGTGGCCTTTGTTGCGTCTGCATGGGAGGGGTTTGCCCATAATCGCCACGCTGGGCAGGCGGGTTGGCGATCGCAGGGCGTAGCTTGTCGCACCGGTAACGCTGCTGCCCGTCACCGGCCTGTTGTATTTAGCTACGCCTATTGGGATGGATATACCGCCATCGGTCGGTCGCCAGAGCCTCGTTCGTCGTTCAGCAGGATGCACCGCGGGCAGGTGAGGTTGGCTTGGGGCGAAAGATGGTGGTTCGCCCCTCACACCCCGACCAAGATTACGACCTTTCTTATTTTAGATTAAGACCTTTCGCGAGTCTTGCGCTAGGGTAATAACAATAATTAAGTAGCAGAGGTTTTATAAATTAGTCACAGTTGATATGATTTGTGAAGCTTATGATTTATCACATGTGATTGTGATTTTATCCATCCCTATGTCTCTTGAGTTGCAGTTGTGAATGAATTGCACTTGTCATTTACCACGAGGTGAACAAACACTCAATATCAAACAATAATTTTATATCTTAGTAACAATCACTAACATCATTTATTTTATTAAATCCAGACACACGGTATCAATATTTCTGTATAACAATTATAGCAAGAATCTCTCAACCATTAAATATTCATTATAGAAATTTACAAATGTTACCTGTAATTGGCATTTTCGTAATTAAGTTTATGCCTAAATATATCACACGTTAAGTAAATATTTGGTGTTAATTATTAAGGTAATATGAAATATATAGCAAAACTGGTGCGAACTTCTT